GTTTAGGGTTTAGGGTTTTGGGAGCAGCAACACCAGATACATTCCTCATTCTGGCGGCAGCAGCAGCACCACCAGCAGCAGCCACGACAACCATCACAAACACAACAACCACAGCAGCAACAACCGCAACCACAACTACGCCACCATGATCCATGTCAATATCACCATCATCATTGGCATCATCATGACCATCTGAGACATCATCATCATCATCATCATCATCTCCATCACCATCATCATCTCCATCACCATCATGGCCATGATCCTGTTGTGGTAATGCTGCTGCGACTACGCAAACCCACGGTTACAGGCACCAAAGGTAGACACAAGTAGACCTGACCGAGCCCAGGCTTCCTCAAGCCCTAAAAACACTAGGTTTAGGGTTTAGGGTTTAGGGTTTAGGGTTTAGGGTTTAGGGTTTAGGGTTTAGGGTTTAGGGTTTAGGGTTTAGGGTTTTAGAACCCTGAAGCCCCCTAAAATAGGGTCCTAAGTACTTAGAACAGGGCTTTGTGCATACTCGTGACAGCCCAGAACCCTTTATTCAGACCCCTCTATGTAGCAGACCCGAAGCCACATTCGCTCTAAACCGTAAGCCTAAACCCTAAACCTTCCTAAACCCTAAACCCCTAACCCAAAACCCTAAACCCCAGACCCTAAACCCTAAACCCGAAACCGAAACCTTAAAAGCCACCCCTGGCCTCCTCCTTGGCCTCCGGAAGCTCGCGTGCGAAGGCATCCTTACCACGGGCATAGAGCGCGTAGACCGCTCCGAAGGCGGCGGTGGCGAAGCCCAGGTAGAACCAGAACCTTGGTTTAGGGCTTTTAGGATTTATGGGGCTTATAGGGCTTATAGGGTTTAGGGCTTATAGGGCTTAGGGCTTATAGGGTCTAGGGCTTCGGGTTTATAGGGTGTAGGGCTTAGGGTCTATAAGGTTCAGGGTTTATGGTTTAGGGCTCAGGGCTTATAGGGTTTAGGGTTTATGGGGTTCAGGGTTTGGGGTTTAAGGCTTGGTGGTTGAGGGTTACTATGTAACTATGTAGGTGCTTGGGGCTCGAAGTGGGAGTTGCTGAGGGGTAATGTCGACGCCTTAATATTTGTTAATAGGGTTTGGGGGTCTATTATACTATATCTCTAATAAGGAACCCCCAAAAAGCCCTATTCGATTCTAATTATTAAGGCGCCTAAACCCTTATAGTAGCCCTTATAGAACCCTTTAAGGAACCCCTTGATTGAACCCCAAAACCCTATTTCACTTATGAAGGCCCCTACATTAGCATTGGGAGTAGCACTGACGGGACTGAGAAACCTGGGGATTTTAAAGGTTGCCCCGCGATCCCCAAAGACTTCGAATCGAGTGGCTTTAGGGTT